TAACACAAATTTGCGTTATTGCCGTTTGTGTTATTTCACCCCCCCCCCCCCGGTCAACTCCCGTTTTGTGTTATCGTGAAGTAAAGTGAAAGGTACATAATTAACACCGTAATAAATGCAGTGTTAAAGTGTTATTTTTATCACTTTGCAATAACGCAAAACGAATTATCCCTTTGAACATAGACTGCTTTGATTTACTTTGCGTCAAATATCGGTCTTAACACTGTGGACATATTGCACCGTAAATAAAAAGTAGTCACAACTCAAAATTTTTCCGGACGCTGCGCCAAATAAGAAGTTCACATCATCACTATCTTCATTAACTTAAAATGTTTTAAAATATTATTAAGACTGTTTTTGTTTTGCTTGGGTCGCTTGCTCAGCATCAGCAGTTGTTTGTCTCTCCTGAACAATTGGGATTTTTTGAGTTATGACTGTTTTTGATTTTAGGGTGCGATATGAAAACTACGCAGCATATAGCAGCTTTTTGTAGCCCAATTAATTTTGTTTAGAAAATATCAATGTGCTCACCAGTGATTTACATAAATTTCTTATCTAATGAATTTGTTTCTAGGGGTAGTTGAATATATGTGCTTCAAGTACAAACTGAAGTAAGAACTGTAATTCATAGGCTTAAGAATACGATGTTTTCGTAAAGGAAGCCTTGGAGATAGTGATACCATGCTTGCCCATTGACCTTCACAAAGATCATCGTAACGAAGTAGTCCGACTTCGTGTCCTCCTAGATTACCAGGTCCACGACACATTGCCATTTGACCATCCCACAATTTATATGGGAACTCGCGTATCCATCGGGCTAAATACAAAACACGGCAGTCGCAATGCCAAGGATTTTTATCAAACTTTACCGCCATTAATTTTTTCAAACCCCGCAGAGCTCCACTTTTTAAATATTGTAGTTTATTTGAATCAATACGTCTGGAAAGAAAAGGTATAATAATTTGTTAGTAAAGCACAGTTATTTTTGTTGCATATTTTCAATAATTCTATTTTGGAAATAATTTTTTTAAATATATAAATATACCCAAGAAACATGATACAAATATTTAAAGGTAGTTTCACTTCTTCTTCTTATCCGCCATTGCTCCCATTTGACGTAAACTGTGCTTTAGACGTTTTCTTTTAAATTGAAGATACCATATTCTTTGAAGAAACTAAAAAGTGGCTTTTTACTTAAAAAAAAATTTTTCCAAAATTATTTCAAGGAATATATTTTGAGCATCATAATATAGCGAGCTATTAGTGGTTTATTTCTAAAGTTAATTATAAAACGGAAGGCTAGTAAAATACTCCTATTACATTGCGTAATGCACATGGATAATCTATTTGTTTATGCAATTATTTTCATCATTATTTAGTACGATTAGCTGCATATTTCGGGATGGCCACGTGCATGGTAACTTCACCAAGGTGTTGTTTGCTTGTTCCAACCACTTTTGGGCGGAAAATTTTCAGCCTCGGCACGGGTGTGCCCAATCTAAGCGAAACGCTGCACCAGCAGCAGTAGAGCGAGTAGCTTATCTCTCTATAAACTATAACAAGGAGCTCTAAGAATTTGTAAATTTTGTTACCTTTATTTATGCTTCCATAGTGCTTTCATTGACGATAAACTACTTTTTAACTATTCCCTTGTTCATATGTTCTCTAAAAAGGATCCAAATTAAAGCAACATCCTAATATTTATAATAATATCTCATGGAACACTGCATATAATGCCAAATTTTTTTGCGGTAAGGTAATTTAAGGTATTTTAAATTAAGTCTCACTCATTAACAGCTAAGCTACGATGAATTAAGTAAATTTGCCTTGCGTATTGTTATTTTTTAATGCATAAAAAATTCCTTTAAAAAATTAAAATATCACGCATCGCAGTGAGCAGACGTGCTTTCTTAAGCTCTGCACTTTTTACACTATATTTTTTGTGTTTTTTGCGTTATAAGCAATAACCTGCATTCATCTGAATTGTATTGTCGCGTGCTTTTGCCTGTGTTATTGTGTGTTTGCATCAAAAGCTGTGTGCAGAAAAAACGCTTGAAATAGCAAGCTGCTTCCCTGCCTTTGTACCTCGTGAGTGATGTCTCCCCCTTCCACGGTATCTCTTAAGCGCCCACCCAGTAAATGCTCCCCTAACGCGGCTTACAAAACCGCGAAGTTAGATGAGAGCATCGTTCTATCTACGGTACTTTCAACGCTAAGAGACTTAGAAGACAAAGTGCAGAG